CAGGTGATGTTCACATCCCTCTTGTGTCACAATTTGTCTATCTTGGCGCCGTTGCCTCATACGGTCCCTTTGAGATGCTTACGCTTAAACACAGGATCTCATGTGGCATGGCGAACTTCTGGCGAATGGTGAAGATCCTCAGAGGGCGTCACACGCTCAGTCCTCGTATTCGGTGTGAACTGTGGAGAGCTTGCGTTTGGTCATCGATAAGCTACTCCCTCAATAGCTGTGGGCTGACGGAGGCCAGCTCAGCCCTTCTAACAAGCACCATTCTGCGACAACTACGCAGCCTCTACAAGGACCCGGTTCACATCAGTCATGTCTCACACAGTGACTTCCTCTCTAAGCATGGCTTGATGTCACCCGTTAAGATGCTTCAAGTAGCCATGGACAATGAACAGCCCAAGCCGCATGATCCACTTGCGTGTCATCCACACTGCCCGTGGTGGGAACATGTCTACCAATCCTTGAAGGAACCCCCGATGAAATCCCTTCAAGCAGTGGAGGGCTCTAGCTGTCAGGCCACTGCATGCAGCATATGCGGGTTGTACTTCGCCAACTCTTCGGCGGTGCTCATTCATCAGGCCAAGAAACACCCAGAGCACCAACGTGCGACTCAGATTGGTCATACCTTTCACAAGCTACGAGACTCATTACATGGGCTGCCGCAGTGCAAATACTGCCACAAAAAGTTCCCTAAGTGGCCGGGGCTTAAAGCACACATTAATGGTGGGCATTGTAAGGTGCTTACTAGTCAGGCTGCCTGTCCTACCACAACAACTGACGTTCCAACACCTGCTCATCATACAGCGCCAGGTAATGATCAGTTAAGCCCGAATCCCCCACAGATCACGAATCCTGCTCCTGGCCAGTCGATAAGCAAGACCCCCGTAGGCACAACTCCGCTGCAAGCCGAATTGCCTGAGACGACACAGCTCTCGGACACCCCGGCAAACTTTGATGCAACAATGTGGGCTGTCCCTGATCAACTCTCAAAGCTAATAAGTGCCAAAGGACAAAATGCCATCTATGTCTATGAGACTCGTCGTACGCTTGCCCAGCACTGTGCTCGCTGTGGTCAATGGATTGTGCACTCACGCATGATGAAAGTGCACTGGCAGAAAGCTCATCCTGAGCTGTTCTTGCAGCATCAGGCCCAAGCAACTGCGGCTAGTCTCAAATTCCCCTCCCCAGGGTCGCCGTGCGTGTTCTGTGGCAGTACGATGCTTAATCCCAGGGCTCACCGCGCTAAGTGCACTGTTCTCTGGCAGTTCCTACTCTATCACTTCTTCCTAAGGTCCCACGATGGCAGAGGAAGCCCTGGACTCCGAAATGATGGGCATGTTCGGAACAGTGAATGTCCAGGAGCATCTGCTGACGCTGTCCTCGTCGAGTCAGGGACCACGCCAGAGAGAGGTGCTTCTGAAGGTCTCGGCAGAATGGCGCACGCAAATGGAAAGTCGTCAGCAACATGCCCCTCTCCGAAATGTCTTACTGTACCAACTCTTTCAGCTGCTGCTCACGAAACTGCAGCAAGTCCAAGCCTCAGAGACAGAGCAGCAGACGGCCAGACAACAGGGATGGCTCCAGGAAGAGGGCTGGACCTACCAGCGGTGGAACCCAAGTGGGAAGAGCCTCGGGGTAGATGCGGAGCGTCCCCCGGTTACAACGACGACAATCCTCCAGGCCATCGAGCAGGCACTCCCCGTCGTGAGGGTGGAGGGCTCGGTCTCTCGCTTCCACTCGACCCAGCGGCTACAGGAGAGCACCATCAACAGCAAAGTCCATGCGTTTCTGCTCGATGTGGGACTTCGTCACCCGGACTCCATGAAGATTTGGCATCTCCTGGAGATATGCCGCGGCCTTGCGGCCCTGCAACTCATAGGCCTCCAGGTGCGGCCGGAGAGCTTGCGGCGATCGAAGTTGGCCAACGATCTGGCCAAGCGACTTTGATTGGAATACTGTGCCGGGTGCTCAGCAATCCGTCTAATCTTTGCTACATTAATTCCTGGGCACTCGCCTACTCGTGGGCCTGTACCCAACTTGCACCGACCATCACGTCTTCATGGGGGCTACATATGCAGGCCTGGCGGGACGCCATCTGGAGCAAGGAAGCGACTGACCTCACTCGCTTGCCCTCTTGGAGGCGTCTGCTGAGAACTTGGAGGAATGTGCATCATCAGCATGATGTTTTTGAATTTGCTTGTCATGTGCAGGCTCTTAACCAGCCACCATTGAGCCTTGGATCCTGGCAGGCACGGATGGGGGACGATATGGGGTACCAAATTTGGGATCATGGCACTACTCAGTATGCCATACCGTTGCAGATCCCTGCCAGCACTCCAGACCCTCCGCTCACACTGCAGACCTTGATCAACAACTGGCATTTTCAGCATGTGCCCTTTGCTCTCTCCACGCCACCAGATCTTCTCTGTTTTCTCCTCACCCGTTACACCCTGCAGCCCTCCGCACGACTGACCTATGAGAAAAACACCTGTGCTATTCAGCTACCACGCCTGGTACGCGTTCCCTGTTTTCTTGAGGAGTCGCTGACTTGCCGATGGCTACGTTACAGGCTTGCTTCAGTCATTGTACACACTGGTGACTCACCAGAACAGGGTCATTATACCTCAGTGCTCGTATCGGGCTCAGGCACCTGGGGTACCAATGATCACAGACGTGCCCAGCTTACATCACTTGAAGATGTCAGTACTGTAAATGGGTGCTACATGCTCTGGATGGTAAGGCATGATCGTTCACCTGTGAGGGGAGCTGGAACCACAATGTAGCCTATGTGGTACATCCGGGGAAGCCCTGTGGGCCCCTGGTTCTGTACCCATTATCATTGTTTTTGTGTTCCCACGCTGGAATCAGTACCATGCTGATTCCTGTTGCTGCGGGTCTAGCCACCTAGTTGGCTCTTTCTTTGCTCTTACCTGGGGTGGGGCTCTATGCAGACATACTGCTCATCCTCGAGGCAGTAAAAAGTCAGTCGCCGAGTTTCCTATCTGGACCCTTGAACCGCTGTGCACTGCGTACTTCTGGACTGCCACGGTCCATGCATGGTCCAATGCTGCCTTTATGGCCGGCCTGTGCGTCATACTGACACTGCTGAGGCCACTGTGACAACTGAACAGCAGCTATCGGTCCATTGCATTCTTCCGCTAGGGTAGCTGAGCTCTGCTCTGCATTTTTCTTGCAATGCTCGGCTTGCCCCCAGCGCCACTCCGTTTGTCCCACGCAAGATGTACAGTGTATAGTGTACAGTGTACAGTGTACAGCGAGCACAGCTATCTTCTCCCCCTCCCTGTTCTCTTCTTTCTCTCTACCTCTGACTTGAGCATGTCTCACTGGTGTAGCTTTGAGTTCTTTTTGGTCATTCGTGACGTTCTCTGGATGCAATGTACATACTTCACTGTGTACGTGTATGCGTTTATACGCCGGGTCACTCCGCCAATGTGTGGTCGCTAAGCTTGGTATCTCTTGCTGCGTCGGAAAGAAGAAAGAAAGCTGACCACCAGTAAGCCCCGCCCGGTCCGCTTCAAGCGAGAAATCAAAGGGCTTGGCTGACCACCAGTAAGACTCACAAGAACGGGACTACAACCTCAGCTGCGTGAACTGATCCGAGTGAAAGCATGAGCGGGCTGTACAGGGAGAAAGGAACTAAAGGCAAGATGAGAAAGAGATAGAAAGAGAATGTGAATGCATACAAGTGTTTAAAGGGATGAAGGAATAAAGAGAAGTGTTTGAAAAGTATGCATGACGGCCGACGTCCAAGCCTACCAACCAGAGGATGATCGCGCTAAGACGATGAAACTGTCGGTTCACTGACGGGTTTGTTGCTTTGTGGTGTTGCTGCTCTGGGTGCTCCCAAATCGCGGGTGGTGGTGGGCTGCCCAAAGTGGCAGGGAGCTCACTCAGCACAGCACCTGTGTGTGTGGTGTTTTGTTTCTTGACGTGAACCGCAGGGTGATTCGTTAATTAGTTTCATCGTCAATGATGTACGCTATTCGCTTCCATCACGGGGGGTGTTTAAGTTAGCATAGGCCTTGCCCCTTGGGAAGATGGTCCCAAAACCCATACCCCCCCCTACGCTTTTACACCTATAACAAATAAGCCTAATCAAATAGGGTATATCCAAAGACCATCTTCCCAAAGGGCGAGGTTAGGTTGATAGAATTTATGGTAAATTTAGGGTTTCAGGGCTTGAAAGCCTGAAGCTTCTGCCCTGCTGGGGCACTTCATCCTCGGCAACTTCTACGAAGAGGTGCGCCAGACAAGTTTAATCTTTTGAGCTCTGCAAGTGTTCCTACAGTCCCGTTGTGCATTGAACGCATCAGCCAAGAGCAATCTTGAAAATTTGCTGAAGCCATTTTGTGTTTCAGCACTGGGGCATTTTGCCATTTGTGAGCCTTTGTGCAATGGGCTACGAGCAGAACTACAAAGTTCGGAGTGGCACCCCTGAAGAGCTACACAACATGTTCTGTGACGAAGTTCATTTGAAGATTGGCAAGGCACACGGCAAGAGAAAGAGCAGGATGCGAAAGCTAAAGAAGTGGGAACCTTCCGACAGAGACGATAAGCTTCTGCGACACACTCTTCGTCGCGTCAGATACTGTCTTGAGACCGGCACGGTCCTTTACGAAGACGTGATTGAGCGCGACCCAGAGAAGATGCTGGTGTATTGAGCCGAGTAGTGCTGACCCTTTTTGCGCGAGTGCTGACCTACCTTGTGCAGATGTAGTGTTTGCCTTGCGACCAAAACCTCGTACAGAAAAAAGCCCTTTTAGTACAGCCAAGGGCTACCACAAACCTTTGGAGAGAACACGAAAGCCAGTGAAAAGGTAGGTCTTCCTTTGCTTGAGCGTTGTTGTCACATTGTGCATTCCTGCATCAGTTGAGGCAAAGCATGAGCGACGTGTTTGCTTATCAGAAGCATTTTGCTTCAAACAAGTTGAAGGCATTTTGTCTTGACATACCTACCCTCGTCAGCTTCAGAGATGGCTCCCTCCAGCTCTTCCAGCTCTTGTAGCTCTCCACGCGCTTTCTTGGAGAGCCTCGCAAGTGGTGAGACTACTCCTTCGTCGCTTCCTGACATCAACGAGGGCAACATCTGCATCAGGTCTGCAGTTTGCGACTCTCGTCGTCCAGAAGGGACTATGGTGAGTGATGGTCAGTGGGTGCTCCGTGTCTCTACCAATGCGCGACCCTTGGTCGTGGCAGATGAGATTTACCAGCGCCTGATGAGGGACGACTTTTTCCTCATCAACTTCGGCGACTTTGATTGGCAGGTGTCTTTTCTTTGGTGCGAGAGCTACCCGTTCCCGGACTCCATAACCTACCCCCTCAACCCACGGACAGTCTTGGTTGATGGTGGCTATGTTGTGGTGCGTCTTGGTTTCAAGGATGCAGAGGCTTCTGCCGAGAACGAGGACACCGAAAGCGATGCAGAATCTTCTGCTGAGAACGAGGGTACCGAAAGCGATGCAGGTTCAGACACACCGAGTCTCTCTTGCTTCCTACCGTTGTCCTACTTGGAGGACGGCTCTGACCTTTACAGCGATGATGAGGACACTCCTGAGGATGATGACGGCGCCTTCGTTGAGGTCAGGGACAACCACAATCGCCCTCGTCTTCATCTCAAGCGCATCGGGAGCCTTTGGAAGACCATAGGCAACCTGAAGGAGATGATTACGGAAGAGGTGCGAAACCTTGTGCCTTCCAGTCAGCCATCTCTGACCGTTTTGGACTTCAACCTTGTCCACAACGGCGTTGTGATGCAGAGCGACGAGTACATCGCCGACTTCTTGAACTACCCGACCGAGCGGAAGCTGGTGGTTCGGATGATCTTGAGGCTTAGAGGTGGTGGCAAAAAGGGTGTCAGAAACGATGCCTCCAAGCAGAAGCAGAAGGAGAAGAAGAACACGGAGAGACGTGAACATGTCAGCAATGCCATCGCTCAAGAGACCACCGCGTCTGACTGTCTTGAATTCTGTCGCCAGATGAAGCAAGACATCTCTCGTGTTCTGGATGGTGCAGACAGCGACCCTCGTGAAACGATGCGGTTGCTCTTGGAGGGCAACCCCATTGAGAATTTGGACGGAGTCCTTGAGGCATTGGGCGAGAAAGGCAACACAGAGAACAAGGTGGCGAACGCATCGCATTCTATGTATGCGCAGAACGGCGTTGCACTCCACCGGCTTCTTGATGATGTGAGTGTCATCAAGGAGACCTCCCGCAGTGCCTTCGTCTATTTGTATGAGAAGTGCGGGTACAAAGATGTCGGCGAGTTCAAATCCCAGATTACGAGGGTGCGGGATGTGAAGTTTGGGCGTTCGCAGGTGGGTGGCGCCCATAAACTCCCAGAGTTTGCCCATAAACTCCCAGAGTTTGCCCATAAACTCCCAGAGTTTGCCCATAAACTCCCAGAGTTTGCCCGTAAACTCGTAGAGTTTGCCCATAAACTCCCAGAGTTTGCCCGTAAACTCGTAGAGTTTGCCCTTTCAGGCATCCTCTTCTACAGCCCCAGCCGATGTTGCCACCGAAGCTCCTGTGGCGATGATGCCGTGAGCGCTTGAGTTCCGGCAGTGCAGTGCGCAGACCCTGTGCAAGTTTTGTGCAGATGTAAGTGTTTGCCCTTGCAAACTATTAATTATTAAGATTATATGGCTCATACAGACTGCTGGACTAGCCCACCAGCGCTTGTACATGGAAATCTCCTCAACAGCCCGTTTGTACAGTTAAGGGGCTACGACAAACCAAGAAAGCCAAAGCAAGAGTAGTGAGAAACATCGCTGGTGAGCGTGTGTGCTTTCCTGCCCTAAACCTCAAACCAGCTTGTGCAGTTGAGAAGCCACGCGTGAGCTACATCTGAAGCCGTTTTGGTGAATTCGTGGCATTTTGCCTGTAGGTTTCCAGCCCTAGACCTCCCTCGGCTTCTTTGAGATTCATGGCTTCAGGCTCCCCTTCTACCGGCTTCGGCTTGTTCTTCAAGGCGTGGAAGCTCTACGTCCAAAATCGTCAGGAGCGCGAGACCGACGCCATCCTCAAGCTCCAAGCCGAGAACCAAGCCCTCAGGGTAGCCATGCACAACATCGTTGAGGGTGGCTTTCAATCGGATGTGGTCTTCGGCATCACCGCGGACATGATTGAGGAGCTGTACTACAGAGACTTCCACAGAATTCCTCCCACGCCCTCCTTCTTCACGAAGGCTGACGTAAAGGTGGTGAAGAAGGCTCTCATCTATGACGAGTTCGTGGAGCACGTCATCATTGAAGATTTCACCGCCTACTGCTTGAAGCGAGTTCATTCGGCTCTTGGCTTTCCGATTCAAGTTCTGTGGTGGCGCAAAAGCACCAAAGAGCTTTTGGCTCTCCAGCTCAATTTCGCGATTGACGAAGACCGCGAGATTTTGGATTTGACTCTTGAACAGCTTCAGGAGCAAGTTTGGGATGAGTGGGATGACATGCTGATCGAGGACGGCTTTGACCCAGAGTCGTCAGAGATGCTGTTCCGCACCTTCCCGCAAGGGTACATCGGCAACTACACCGGTCCTCGTGACATTTCCCGTTACGAAGTGTTTGATGAGGACACTAATTTACAGTCTAGGGCTGAATTCCGTGCGTGTTTTGAAATGTTTTTCAGGTAGGGGGCTTCTGTAGCTCCCACAATTCGCGACTGTATAAGTGCAGGTTTTGATGGTTGTCCCATGTTCCTTTGTAGCACAGAGAGCTCAGAGAGCTTCGTCGGACGAGGCTTCTTTGTATATGCCAAGCAGTACAGTGCAAATGCGAACATTGTGGATGCTGTTTAAATCCTTGCAGTTCCCAACAAACGTTATGTCTCAACAACAACCGAGGCATCAGAAACTCAAGCCCAGAGCGGTGAAAAGTCTTTGCACCTGCTATTCTGCAACCCTACCCCCAACCCTCCTAAGAATAAATCCTAAACCGCGCGTAACAGGTGAACGACTTCCAGGCGGACTTTGACCTCGGTGACTTCATGAAGGTTCGTCCCTTTTAGGGTTTTTAGGTTTAGGGTTGTTAGGGGTTTCGCCTTTGAAGGCTTTTCGGGAAAAGGATTGGCTCTGAGGAGCTGAGCGGACAACCAACTCAGAACAGGAGTTAGGGGGCTTTAGGGTTTTTAGGAACCCTAAGCCCTAAGCCCTAAACCCTAAACCATGTTTGTTCCCTCTTCGGGAAAAGGATTGGCTCTGAAGAGCCGAGCGAACAACCATCTCAGAACTGGAGCGCTGGGAATTCCAATTACTTAGGGTTATAGGGCTTTAGTTTAGGGGTTGTAGGGGTTTATTGGCTACCGCCTTTCCGCTGACCCAACAAGAGAAAACAAGTAAAAATAAAAAATAAAAGTAAAAAATAAACATAAAAAATAAAAATAAACAATAAAAATAATTAATACAATATTTTAAATATTATTGTATTAAACTTTTAACAACTCGTGCCTTAAGTATGCCCTTTCGTTCCCCTCTACATAAAAATACTGTTGCCCCAGTTTCTTATCAATTTTTTCTATGGTGTAGCGGTTTTGTGTGAAATTGCCGACTCTCTCTTTTTCATTGGGTTTTCGTTTCCTCAGTATTTTAACAGCGTCTCCAACATCCAGTTCAGGATAGACGCGATTCTTCTTAGCGTTCATGGACAACTTCAGTTTAACATTTAGCTCATTCTTCTTCTTACGGGCTTCTATGGGTTCCAAACCATGGGATGAGTGTTTCATAGCATTGTTATATGTTAAGAAAATCTCATGTAAATAATCACCCCATTGAATGTTTTGTTTCCCTTTTTTCTCATCATTTTCAACCCTCTTGTAAAGCATATCCTTAAGTGTTCTTATCGCCCTTTCGGCGAATGCTGGGTGCCCTCTTGTTCTGTGTAGTTCTATATTTTCATCCTTCAAGTAGTCTATAACACTTTGATTATTAAAGCTCCCTTCGTCGTCTATATAAATTAGTCGGGGTTTCCCATCCATCTTTTTTATGTTTTCCATAACACCTGCTAATATGTCCGGTGGCTGTTTGGATGAAATCGGCACCGCGTTCATATACTTACTAAACACATCTATGCATATCATTCCTACCCTAAATTTTTGATTAGGTATATCATTAATAAAAAACAGATCAATTTGAAACTCATAATAGGCATTGGGAGCTACAAAGGAGTTTTGTCCTGTTGGCTTTCGCTTTTGCTCCACGTTCTTTTTAAAAAACTCATTAACATCTTCCGCTGTTATACTCTTATCTTTCTTTCTTGCCTCTTGAAGCGTCCTAGCTTTACTGCCAAACCCCCCGCGGTCAAAATAAGTATCGTTAATAATATCTTGTTTAGAACTCATTATAATAAACAAGATATTATTAATAATCATTTTTATTATCATAATCATTTAGCACTGCAGTTACAGAAATGACAGAATGCAGTTAGATTATCTTTAACATGTGGCATCTCATTATTTAAACGCTGGGCTGTTAGATTACTCACCACCTCCCCGCATTTAATATCAAACTCAAACCCGCAACCACACTTGTTACATCTGCTGTTCATCCTATCAAACAGCCATTTCACATCAATATAATCGGCATCTTCTATAGTCCTACCTGCCTTCAGGTCTTGTATCTTATAGCGCTTAACCTTGTTATCTAAGTATCGCATCAACGTAGTCTCGTTTAATTCATCGTCCCTTTCGGATGCTTTATAGAACATAACCTTATTAATATCTGTACAGCGTGTGACCGAGGTATACAGCCACTCTCTCGTTATTAAGTGTTGCTTCTGCCACTCGTGTATCGTTATGGATTTATCAACCGAGTTACCTTGTGACGAATGACAGGTGGCACAGTACGCATATCTAAAATGCTCATCTAATGTAGATATACTGGTGTTGTATAACTGGTTGGTTTTTATGTTCTGTAGCACAACCCCTTCGGCTCCGATGCTCTTAATCTGATACTTAAAGTTGACATTGAAGGTCGTCCCCCCTTCCTTCTTATACTTTCTGCATATCATGTGCTCACCCACTTCATACTTCAGCTTCTTGCCTAGGTTCTTTCGTATCGTGTTTGATACATACAAGCACCGTTTATTCGTATATGCTATGTTGTGCTCGGATGCCATCATATCGTCAGTTGTTTTAAAGTGTTTCTCCACAATCTGCTCAATGGGCAGTTTGTGTTTCCAGATATCATCATATATATGCTTAAGTTTTATTTTGTCGCTCCTCTTCTTAAGTCGCTTTGATATTTTAAGATAAATCCGGTATTTAAATATTTGGTTAATGCATTCGTTCAGATATGTCTCGTGGTCTCGTGTGTTGGTTATATCCTTTATTGGTGGCAGTTGTTTCCCGTCAGAAGTGGCTATAATGATTTTATCCTTGGCGTGTTTCTTAACGAACTCCCTTATCTTATTTAATACATACATCCCACCCATACCCACCTCGTCAAACACTATGCAGTTATACTTACTATGGTCAAACGACTCCATTTTATCCCCTTTCTCCATCGGTATGGCAAAGAACTTATTATTAGTTGTGGCATCGGTTTGGGTGTTTTGTAGCAGTTGGTTTGTTGGACACACAAACAGCACATTATAACCTAAATTCCTCATGTACTCGCCTATGTAGCTCTTACCCGAACCAGCGTATTTAGCTTTTATGATTACTGGGTTCTGTTCCACTATTTGCCGACATATCGCCTGAGTATCCCATTCGTCCTCTACCATTACCCTTTCGTTCTCGTAGGTCGGTATTTCCACGAGCTCGTTGGGTTTCATTTCGTAATCGTCGGTTGGGCCTACAAACAGCTTTCCTTTCTCAACTCTCCAGCCCCCGATGTCCTTTGAGAAGTTAAGTAGTTTCTTAGCCTTTTTTAGGTCGGCGGTCTTGATCAGAAAGGCATCGGTCTTAACATAATTGACCTGAACCCCGGCCTCTACCAACTTGTAGTAATCCTCATACATCCTGAAGTTATGGATTTGCAGAAGCAGTTCTTTAATGTATTTAAATCCGTTTGTTAGATTGGCTGTGTCGCTTACAGTTAACGTGTAGTATTTTGCCTCGGTTTCCTTCTCTACTGTTTCAAACCCTTCATCATCATCATCATCATCATCCTCTATCTCCTCATAATGTCCGCTGATTTTGTTGATCCTTCCTCCGTGTATGGTTTGATGATATAAAGCCTCGCTTAAGGTATCAAACACGAGGCTTTTCTGCGCCTTGTTTGTCCCTTTCTCCAGCAGTCCTATGTTTACGTTAGCTATCAGTTTTTTGACTTTATTGTCTTCCATCTCTGTGTGTGATATGGTGGTATCCCACAGTTTCTCGGTGATGTTTTTATAATTCACCTTGTGAGAGTGTGAGGGGCGCTTATAATACAAAATCTCGCATTTTCCGCGAAAGTGCTTTAAAAACATACCGTAGATTAACAGATAGGGCTTGTTAAAGAACATCTTAGCCTCCTCCACAGCCCTCACGAGATAAAGAGTCAAGGGTTCAAACCCATTATCGTGCTCATAAGGCTTCCAGATATCAAACTCGCAGAACACGGGCACCTCAACAATCTGGTTATAAGCCCAAGTGTAAGCCTTTCTCCTGTCAATTTCCACACACTTCTCGCGAAATAGATAGTAGGTTTTTATATCAGTCTCTAGGTCACTATTATAATAAATCTGTGGTATTCTGCCACACGGTGCTATCGTGTGGCACTGCTTAAAGATCTCCATATCGGATTCATTATAATAGGATTTATGCAGTGGGTTAAACAGCGCCTGATTGAAATCATACATCGCCCTTGACATGTTATTATAAGTCTGTTCGGCTTCTACTGTTATGCTTCCGTCTATTGAGTCCTTAATCAGGTTCTGTGTCTTTACTTTATACGATATGGTTTTATACTGCTTTTTTGATACTCTCACCTTGAATCTGAAATTAAGCTCCGAAACCACCCCGGCAGTAAATTTAATGTATGGTTCGTATCCCGCCTGTTTGCTTTGATAGTATAACTCTGCGAGGTTGTTTCTTCTGTATATCATCGTGTACTCGTCGTGTTCGGTGTGCTTGTGGATATCGTCTATGCTGTTAATCATCCTGCACTCAACCGGTGCATCGCGCTCGTTTATGTGGTAGTCGCTTGGTGCCTTAACGTTTATGTCGTGCTCTCGCTCTACAGCCATCAATCCCCTCAGTTTATGAAGGTCTGTATTTATAGTATAAATATGGTCGTTTTTCACTAGAGCATAAAAGGTTTTATAATGACGGTCTCGTTTGGGCGGGTCGTATGAAAAAATTAGGTTCTCCATATAGTCATATATCCGAGCAGTTATGCGATACTCTCTAAACACCTTGGACATATCCTCTATAGATGCTCCTACTTTTTTGAATTCGTCCTCTGTGGTTCCTATCAGGTTAAGCACAGTTTCTCTGGTCATCTGTTGCCTTCTCTTCTCTCCCATAAGGCTGTCCTTGTAGAAATCAGTCAGGGTATTTATCCAGCACTCGTGTTTAACATAGTGCTTAACCCTTATGGCTTCAGCGAAGGTTTCGTATTCGGGGTCCAGTTCTGTTTCTATGAACCTGTGGTAGATACCTATGTTATCGGAGTTGCGCAGTTTCCTCTTTTTGGGGTCGTACTCCTCACCG